TTGTCATTAAGCTGGACATTTTAAAATAATTTATTTCATTTTTATTGTATAAGCATAATCATTTCAATTTTGAGGAGTATAAATAGTACTTCTGCGCCTGTTCATAAAGGGTTTTTTTCACTCCACCTTGAAAATAGTCAGGCTCATTGGTGACCATCCTTTTTCTTTGATCATAGTACCAAGAGCTTTGATTAGAGAAATATTTGTCAGGCTTTCATGTATATGTGGGGATGACCCTCTGCCCAATCTTAGTTGGTTGAACAAGTCACTTCTTCGAAGCCATGCAGGGTATGGTGGAACTTAATATTAGACAACAAAATGAATTGAACCTCGGGTTCTTCTGGGGCTTCCTTGGTGCTTCCTCGGCACCTGGGAGTCTCCTATGCTCTATCACTATGATGGAGTGCTTAGCGTGTGGGGTGTTTTCATTTTCTCATTATCAGTTATTATCAGTGTGACACTTCGTATAACTATTTATGCAAACTGTGAAGTTAAATAAATATGACGAAAGTGTTGCTGATTTCAGTAGGTATTGAATGAAGCACATGAATTAGATAATGCCCTGAGATGGTTGTTGGGAAGAGAGAAGGCACCAAGTAGTAATGTAACTGTTAAATGTATGTCACATACATGTCATACCATGTTAGTAGAAGGAAACAAGATTATCCTTAATATTTTCTTAAACCTATGAGATTGTTCAGGTTTGGGGGCTGTTTGGGTTTTTTATTCCTATTCTTCTTTTTCTTTTTTTTTTTCCTTTCCTGGTTTTTGTTTGTAGGTAAAAAATGATGAAGTTATAGGAGAACATGAAACATATCATATGATTTAGGGGGGGCATAGATTATTAAATGCTTGTAGTTCATGAAAATACTTTCATCTTTTCTGAAGTGAGAGGGTATTTCTTGGGAGACTTTTTTTTCTGTAACTGAGTAACAATTTAGAGGGAAGAGGGCTCTGAATTAATAGAATTAGTTAAGAAGAAAGAATTAAAGAGGAAAATCTAGGTGATTATAGAAAGCTGGGATGGGGAAAATGGACAGGAATCTGACATTCTGTGTGAGTGAGTATTTGATACATAAGCAAGTAGAGTCTGCTTGAATGGCAGAGTCATAAATGGTAGAGAAAGTCAGAACATAAACTTGAGTATTTCTGCAAAATATCAGTAATATAAGGCATATAATAATTCATGGGATCTACAGATGAAGTTGGTAAAGCTATGCTGATTTGCATCAGCTGGTATTAGGCCTAGTGTTTCTCCTTGGCTCCCAAATTGCTCTTCTTTGTCCTTATATTTAATCTCTGATGTCTCATTCCATCTTCAAAATTTTACAGGTGATATCAAGGAGGTATGGGAACACCTACCCTCCCTCTTTCCCAAACTGGAAAGCATAAAAAAATCATCCTCTTTTTTTCCTTCCCTTTCCTTCCCCTCCCCTCCTTCTTTTCATCTCTCTCCTTTGTGTCTCTTCTTTCTCCCCACTTTTTAGCATAAGCCAAAGATCAGCTGGCACTGCAGATCTGCACTGAAAGGGTTAAAGCAAGTCAAAAAGAGTGGACCTAGTTCGTCCCTCCAGTCAAGGCCCCAGGGAATTACCTACTGCTCATTGATCCACAGTTGTTGATCTGTACGTAATAATTGCTCTCAACAGGAACCAAAGTTGCGTGTCTGGCAGGCAACGTGCATTTCCATTAGGAATCTCTCCACTTGAACTGGCAGCAGCCTAAACTGCTCTCCAAATCCATGGCAATTGCCTTTGCATCTTCAGAAAGGGCTGTGACACAGGTTGGGTTTCTACTTAAGGTAGTTATCAGGTTTGGAAAGCACATGAAATAAACATGATCAAAGAGCCAGTCTGAGTTTCAAAACACATTCTCATATTCAGATTTAAGATATTAGTGCATATGGAAACATGAAGGGTCTTTTGGTCTTTGTTTGTTTTTCTAGTATTAGAGACGATACTTAATGTAGCTTAGTTTTAACTGTTAGTGCCTTTGTTGCAACTTAGCAATATTGTTCCACTTCTGGTTTGTGTTTATTTGTCTGAGTAGCGTGTTCATACTCTTTGCTCATGGTTTATTCTCACTGCAAAGATAGGAATTATTTCTTCTTCCTTTGTGCTGCATCCAGCGTTATGAGCCGCTGATCCCAGCAAGGCTGGAGCAAGCGTTTCTATAAAGGACACCTGGAAATTACTAGAATGTTCTTTCTTCCTGTTATACTTGTATTAATAGTCCACTGACTGCTGGCAAATATCTGCATTTCACAACTTACTATTTTAACGTAGCAAAACATGTGAAACGTCTTCCATGTGTCATTTTCCCATCCTTCAGAGAAAGAAAATAAATCAATAGAATTGTAATGTTATCCCGAGTTGGATGAGCTCTTAAATGCTGCAAGCTTGAGCACCTCTTCATTTATTTATTTTATATTTTAGAAAGCTTTGTAGGCAGTCAGGCTTTTGTCATGCTGGCTGTTTATCCATGCAGGAAGCCCAGTTTCAGGATCAATCTCAGCACTCCAACTCCCTAGATCAATTAAACCCAGACTTTTGCTGAAGTGACTTCTTTGATGTGGGGTGATAAGCAGCTGTCTGTCCTACTCAGGCTTAAGGAAAGTGCATTGCGGGAGAACAGGGTTCTTTTCCAAATATCAGGTTTTTTAAAGTGCTTTTAAGTGTAAGTGGCCGGCATGGGATGTTTGTGGTCTTGCACACTCTTAAAATATGGTGTAAGGACATAGTAGTCCTTGGGTATATAGAAAGGGTTGTATAAGTTGTCAGGATCTTTTATTGTTATTTAACTGCAACTTGATTTGATAAAAATAAATCTCAGGTTTTAGTGATGCTCTGCCAGTGAATAATGACAGAAAACTTAAAATACTTCAGAGAATTGTTAGCATTAAATTCTTGAAGCAACACATGAGTTCAGTGACTTCTGTTAATCATAATGGACAGTGCCCTGTAACCTGGGAAACATAATGCTCTGTAGATTTATGGGGTATGTTAAATTGTTGTTAATGAGCAATTTTGTGTAGAGAATTGTCTTCGTGATGCTTCCTAAATTGCTACATTGTCCATATAATTACCCAGGACTACAAAGGAGAGCTCTTTTTCAGCCAGCAGAAGTTTTAACTGTAGTCACATGGGTTGGAAATTAATGATGTAGAGATAACAAATACAAAACACAAATTTAGTCACAGACCAGCAACATCTTTCATGTGTGTTTTAATAATTTTTTTGCCTTGGATAACCATTGAGTTATCCAATGAATCGTTCCTGTGCAGGAACAAATTGGCGAGGAAGAACAAAGTAGCATAGTGGAACAGATAAATCAAATTTAGGCATGGTAGTTTATTGAATCTAAATTGTGCCCAGTTGGCCCAAGAGCTATATGAGCAATCCATCTTGTGTTGATAATGGAGGTTCTTGAAATCCACCTGATGTTTGCATTATTAAATTTCAGCCTAATGAGCTCTGCTAATACATATTGAAGACAGTTGTAAGGAGTAGAATGTGAATCTGAGCGGGATAATTTGAAAGAAAGATAAGCTGAGCATTTTACATGACTCAAGGGGTATATCTGCAATTACACATTTAACCAAAATTGAATTTAAATGGAATTTCTATTATCCTTGTCCTTTTACCAAGGAGAATAAAGTGTAAATGAAGTAAAAGTCTTTAGAGTTACTAGCATTTTGTTTTTATTATCTGATTTAATAGATTCTTGTAATGATCTTCATTGGCAGAAAAGTTTTAATATTTCATTACACTAAATGTAGTCTAAATATGTATAAAAGCATTTAAATGGAAACAGATGTCTATGTAATTACTTCTATCATTTTGTAACACCGCTGTTTGTGTGTTTTAAGAATGTGTAGCTACTGGCTACAAAAAGAAACCAGGGTCAGAAGACACCCCACTCATGAACTGAATTTTGTTTTCACAAAGTATTGGTTAATTCACTAGGTGGTAGGACTAAGTATTTGCAAAACTGAATAAGCATTTGCTATTTGCACCACAGATTATGGTAATTTTATTACCTAAGAAGGCTGGTTTAAGTTCCAAATACTGTTTCTTTTTGGTTCTTTTCCTTTTGACATGGTGATACTTTTTAAAACTTAATATTTCATCAAGTATAATGCTATTAGAGACTTATTCTCACTTAGTTCACTCATCAGGCAGTGAGATGGCAATAAAAGAGAATGGCTCCTTTGAGACATTAATGCTTTGGAATAAATGATGTGCTAGAACAGAAATTTAATTAATTTACAGAGTATATTGATAGTCCCTTGTTACTGTGCTGTATATTTTTAATCTTCTTTAACATCTGTAGTAAAGTGTTTGAAAACCCCTGCAGTTGAGCAACTAGTAGATAATTAAGTAATAAGGGAAGAGGTTTCTGGAGGGAAAAAGACTTTTTTTGAAGAATGCTGTCATAACATGAGTAAAGTACTGCTGCTATGAATTGCAGTGAAGAGAAAATTATACTACCTAATTTAATACTAAGTAATATGTATTTGACTCTCATTTTAAATTTTAAATGCTAACTGCAACTCTGCATCCCTGAAAATACTGTTTGGCTTCTGTTTTATCCTCAAAAGAGGTCTTACGGATTGCTCACTATGGTAGCAAATCTTCTGGTTTTTAAATGCACTGCACCAAACCTATAAAGATTTGGTTTGGGGACAAGTAGGGAAGGGGGCATTTGTGTTTAAGAAAAAAGAAAAAAACTCTTAAAAGTTTTACTTCACAAAAAAACAAATCCAGAAATTTGTATTGATCCGGTATTGTATGCAAAAATTACTTTCCATAATATCACTTATGCTGTTGTTGTAACTGTTGTAGAATCTTTAAATACATTCAGAATCAAATTCTGTTCTTTCATGCACATCTACTTCATTGTGGAACCTCCAAAAAGGAATCTAAAGTTGGGTTTAAACCATAGGAAATGTTGTTTGGCAAGATACATTAACTAATTGTAACACTTGTATCTCTTTTTAGCTAAAGCAGATGAAGCATTAAAGGCTAAAGAGAGAAGTGAAGAAGAAGCTAAGAAAAGAAAGGAAGAAGGTAATGCTTTTTTTCTTTTTTTTCTTTTTTTCTTTTTCATTTAGAAGCAAAGTAAAATCCAGTAAGTCAGAAACCATGATTTTTAAGGTACCCAAGTTCCAGTGGGGCTGTGTGATTTTCTTGCTAGGGCATCTGAAACAGGGATGGCCGGTCTGCCACTCCTTCGGTTCACCATGACTTTATGCACGTGACCTGTAAGATTAACAAGAGCTGCTAAATGCCCCAGAAATTTCAACCACATTTAAAAAGAAATCCCCAAACGTTTTAGCTGCCATTAAAGCAACCTAATAATTTGAACCAAAGTTGTATGTTAAGACCTTACAGAGCAGCCGGTAGCACTGGTTTGTGGGTTGGCAATATTGCTTGATTAAAACTAAGTGCAGAAGTTAGTTTGATCTATGTATTTAGTTTCTATGGTGTCACAAAGTGAGCTAAACTGTTTCTTGTTGAAATTTGGTGCACTGAAAGCTGGCAGGATCTGAGCTGTTTGCAATACAGCAGGTGGGAAGTTAATATATAATGTCTGGATAATTCAACCAAATGTATTTTGCTCGTGCATTGGTGAGTAATGGGACGAGACGTTTTCAACAGCATGATGGAGCCAATGCAAACAATCAAAGTTTCTCACTTCAGCAGTTGGTAGACATCCCTGTCTCAGAAAAAAATACCTCAGCTGTTCAAATTAAACTGAATCATTTAACTGTCTGTGACATTCGTTATTTTTTGCAATGAATTGAACATCAAAAAATATAGTGTAGGTCTGTAGTTCCTTGCAGTGGTTTTACTCCAGAAATACATGTTGGTGACTGCAGTGAACTTCAGCACATTTGATTTCAAATAATGGTAGGTTTCAGGTTGCAACTGTTACTTAACGCACCCAACAATCTCTGTATAAATATGTTCTTGATTCTCCCTGCCCTGTACCCTGTGTCTACCTACGTGGGATTGCATGGATGTTCACTCAGTATTTTAGCCACCCACTAAATAGGATCTGGGTTTGAAGATGATCGAATGTTCAAGGAGATTGTGTATTTTTCAGAGCTGGCCTTTTGGTGGATTCATTTACTATGAAAAGCAGTGCTGTGGCCAAATACCAACTGTAGTTTGATTAGGCCCAGGATGTCATATGGAAGTGATATGGAGTAAGGCTGTTCAGGACAGCTTGAAATTTAAGAAGTTAAGAGATTGAGGTTTTTTTTTATTCCCAGTGTGATAAGATAAAAAAAATCATTAGGCTAAACCAAAACAGGAAAAGGCACAAGAAAGGGAAGAGGTAGTAGGTTGCTTGAGTATGTAGCAAATGGAAGGAAACACCTAAAGCGGATGGTAGTGATGTTACAATTTTATTGTGCCATCTCCTTCAGTCTTTCCGAAACATCATCTTTCTTCCAGTCTCTCTAATCCTATTGGAAAATCTCCGTGCATCTGCCATCTCTTTTCATGTTCTCTGAGCACACCAAGTTGAACTTCAAGGTGAAGATGGGAACTTTAATTTTGCATCTGTTGTGTCTTCATCCCTTCTCATCTCTTTTATATGATCCAGGTACCAGAGCCTAATTCTCATTTCACACCTTCTGTGTTTAACCTCCACTACATTGCCTGCTATTTAAGAATCCCACCAGTCTCCTGATGACAGAATTCCTCCTTATCCTTCTTTGACACCCTTCTTTTGCAGGAATCCCTCCTAACAACCAAGCAGTCTCAAGCAGCCAATCTCTGATTGCATTTCTTTCCCCAAATTGCCATTCCATACCTTGGTCTGAGCTGCTGCAGTCCTTTAGGCTTCCAAAGGCTCTGAATTTTATGGACATTTTTTACGTATTTAATTTTGGAACAGGTCATCAGCAAAAATTTTGTATTAGGAAAATACATCCTACCTGCTTCCATATTGCCATCATTTCTTAAGTACTGATTTCAGGTACTATTTCTTTGGTTACCACCAAATTACAGTCAAGTCCAGTGGACGATGTCCCTGCCCATGGCAGGGGCTTGAAACTAGATAATCTTTAAGGTCCCTTCCAGCCCAAGCCATTCTATGATTCTGTGATTCTATGAAATTTCTCTCATATTATTCCTTACCCATTTTTTCTGTAGCTGGAACTCCAACCACAATGATTTCTGAAGGCAATTTAAAGCTTATTTGCACTTCAGATACAAACAAGCTTTTTAAATCCTCTTGTGTGAGTGAGAAAATCAAGTATACTTGCAGGTCGGATTCAGTTGGTTGCTATCCTACAGGATTTCTTTGTTTTTACATTATTTCCCACCCCCAGTTTGTTTCCAGATTTAGATGTCTTTAATAACCTCTGAGTTGTTGAACTTAGAATGAAATAGGCTAAGTATTTAAAAACTGTAATGTAATCTTTATTAAAAAGTCATGTGATTGATGCCCTTCATCTGCTTTTTGTTTTGGTTGGTGGGGGTTTTGTCCCCTGAAAATAGTTGAAAAAATTTGCTTTGCATTATCAGGTAAATCCAAACCAACTAGCACATACCGACTGCTTAAAAAGGTCCAGAAATCCCCAAATTGACACATCTAATAGTGGATGAAATTGCCACCTCTTGTTCTTCAGTTTAGTCCTGTTCTTGCGCTATGTTACTGGGTTTATGATGTAATGCTTTATTTGGTGCTGACCACTGTTCACCCATAAGGCTCAGCTTCAGAGGACTGGTCAGTTTGGCATTCAGCTTTCACTCAAACCAAGCTCCTGGCAGTTACAGGCTTATTTTGTTCCTGGCAAAGTTGCTTCTGCTGGCCCTGTGCAGTTTTAGGTATAATATTCTGGTCTTACTGAGTATCTTGGACCCCCGAAGTCCCTGCTGTGCTTCACAGGAATGGAAAATACTATGTAATTATCTTTGAAAAATCTGAGCCAATCAATTGCCTTTCTTTCTGTGTTTGATAGAGGTTGGAGGTGTTCACATTTAATAAACTTTTAGTTTAATGATGTTTAAAAAAAACAGTGAAATGGATGCTAAGCCTTTTTTCACTTCAAAGAGTATTGGGCAGTTGTTACATCTGAAGGAAATACTTTCTTTTATGTTAATTTTCTAATTATATTATCAGGGGTACACTGCAAGAACTTATTGTCAGAGACAAATTGATGCTCCTGCATCCAGTCTAAATGGGATGGATCTAAGAGTATTCCCAGTACAAGCATTGCCTTTTCCAGAGGATTCACCCTGCCTGACAGTCACCCCTGGAGAGCCTCACAGCCCTGCTGCTGTGGGACATGTGCTTGAGGGGCTCATAACAGATTAAAGCTAAATTGGGAGCAATTTGGAGGTGTCTCAAGCAAAAGTTGGTAACACAGGTTCATGGACAACTTCAAAGCAGTGTTCATTCCTACTGCTCATTCTGCAAACTGAGCAGTGCACTGCAGGTGGCTCTCTGCCTTTGAAGTCTGTGGGGTTTACTTGAGCTACACCAGGAGTCCATTACACTCTCAGCATAGCTCTTTAAATAGAGCATTGGGTATGAAGAGGTCTTTAGTCTGTAGGACAGGAAGCCAGGACACATTTAAAGGAAAAAGTCCCAAGTTTGGAATGATCTTGCTTCAGAGTGGTGATGCCCTGATGCAGCTTAGAGTGGCAATTCTTTGAGCACTTTGCAATGTATCTAATACAGGATCCAGAACACTTGCAAAATGAAGTAGACTTCTTCCAGTTTGTCTCATGACAAAGTAAGCAGAGTGGGTTTATAGAAATATAATAAGGTCAGACATGTTTTAGAAATATCTTTATGATGACTTCCCGTAGGGAATACCAAAGTGCTACCTTAAAAAACATTCCTGTGCACTAAAAAGGCATAGAACCATGGAGTGGTTTGGATTGGAAGGGACCTTAAAGACTGTCTAGTCCAAATCCCTGTCATGGGCAGGGACAGCTTCCCACTAGACCAGGTTGCTCCAAGCCCCATGCAACTTGGTCTTGAACACTGCCAGGGATGGGGCAGCCACAGCTTCTCTGGACAACCTGTGCCAGTGCCTCACCACCTCACAGGAAAGAATTTCTTCCTAATCTAATAGCTCACTGATGTTAATTCGTTCTTTTCATGATAGTGAAGGGCCACTTGTAAGATCAGATGGCAGTTGTTTTGTCCTCTGTTACAGTGTCCATCTACTATGCAGAGTCTGTCGCTGGCTTTCTAGAAGGATTAGGTAGAGCAAAATTAGATGAATATCATCTTAGTAAATGAATTAGAATCTCAGAACGTAGATGAACAAACTGTTTTTCTGTTCCTGAGCAGTTGTGTTGTTGCAGAAGTTGTCTCTGTCTTGTGATAGCTTCAGATGGCTCAAAGTTCAGGTGATCTCTTTTCTGACTTGTATGCAATACAGTACTTGAAATCTTTTTAATTCCTCTTCTGATCACTTAAATGAGCTACAAATGGGAAGAGCTCCTCTCTTCTGCCATAGTGCTTGAAAGGGACTGACATAGAATTTCCCTCAGATTTTTTTATTTGCTTCTCCCGACTTCTTCCTAAGTAATCATTTTGCTTGTCCTCCAAGGCGGCTATTACTCTGATACTGGCTGGGCATCAGGCTGCTGGTGAGAGGTGGTGAGCGTTGCTTGGGGTTTTTTCCATTTCCTTCACTTACTAAACTGGGATTATCTCTACCTGTTCTGTCTTCTGCTGTGCCGGGGACAGTGAGCAAGAGCTGTGTGGGTGCTAGCCAGGGTCAACTGACAGCAAATCTTTCTCTCTCTCACCTAGCTTTGCTGCTGTGCTATATGGTTTGCTCACTGCACAGAGGATGCATTAAAAAATGCCAGTGAGATGTGACAAACAATCATGCAACTGTCCATCGGGCTGATCTGGGGTTGATGGTGAAATGAAAGCCTGTTGCATTAGATGACCACTGTACTAAGCTGTGTTTCTCTTGGGGTGTGTAAATTTACCATTTGTATTCAGAAATGTAATGCTCAGAAATATAATGTTCAGAAATGTAGTGTTCAGAAATGTAATTCAATATTGTATTCAGCAATGTTATGTTTGA